TTGTGTTATTCAGTCTTCAAAAGGAGGAAAATTCTAACACATGCTACGACACGAATAACCCTTGGGAACATTATGCTAACTGAAATAAGCAAGTCACAAAAAGACAAATGCTGGTGAGTATATGATTCCATGTATACGAGGTATCTAAAGTAATCAAATTCACAGAGACAGAAAGTAGATTAGAAGTAGCCAGGGGCTGGGGTGAGGAGGAATGGAGAGTTATTGTTTATGAGTACAGAATTTCAGTTTTGCAACATCAGAAGAGTTCTGGAGATTGGTTGCACAACACCATGAATGCACTTAACACTGTTGAATACTTAAAATGATAAATTTTATGTGTATTTTATCAATTAATTAAAAAACAAAAACACAGGCTTAGAGGATCTGGATATACATGCTGGCTTGCTTCTTTACTTTCTAGTTTTGTGACTCCAGATGAGTTATTGAGTTACTGACGCTCAGATTTCTGGTCTGTGAAATGTGGGTAATAACAGCACCTTCCTCACAGGCTTATGAGGATGATATGAATAAATATATGCAATATATTTAGCACAGCACTTGTTCTACATTAAGCCCTCCATAAATGTTGACTTTGGGTCATAGCAGTAGGAACAGAGTATTGAACCAAAGGCAACTATGGGTAATTATTTTTAGATTTGATAATGTATTGTGATTATGTTTTTAAAAGGAATCATTATCTTTTAGAGTTACAGACTGATATATTTCTAGATGAAATAAAATGAGAAATGGGATTTCCTTCAAGATGACTAGAGTTGGGGGAGAAAGAACAGTAAGGGCACAGAGGACAAAAGTCTGGCTATGAGTTGACAACTGTTAATGGTGGGTAATAGGTATGTGAGATTATTATACTATTTCTTCTTCTTTTGCATATGCTTGAACATTTTCAGAAATAGATTTTCATAATAGAGTCAACAACAACAACAAAAATCATTGGCTGGGTGTGGTGGCTTACACATGTAATTCTAGCACTTTGGGAGACTGAGGCGGGAGGACTACTTGAGCCCAGGATTTGAGATCAGTTAGGGCAACATAGGGAGACCTCGTCACCACACACACACACAAAATTGCCAGGCACAGTGGTGAGCGACTGTGGTCACAGCTCCTCAGGATGCTGAGGGAGGATTGCCTGAGCCCAGGATGTCGAGGCTGCAGCGAGCTATGATAGTGTCACTGCACTCCAGTCTGGGTGACAGAGTGAAACCCCAACTTAAAAAAAAAATCGACCCCAATCTTTGATGATAGCTCTCAGATAATTTTTCACACTAGTGAATGGTCATGGATTTGGTACAGCTGACAGTAGGTCCTTTTTCAGGTGGAATTATGGAACCGCATAGCAATTTTCCCATAGAAATCTCAATTTTATTAAAAAAAATCACAAGAAGCAGGTTACCACAAAATTAGGTTGCACATGGCAGCATGCTAAAAATATCAATGCTCTTAACATGTTAAAATTGTGTTTTTCTCAAGTTTTCTATTCCTCTGGCCCCTTTCACTAAACATATACGCCTTTCACCCATCCCCACCATCATTTTGATAACACCCTTCTGAAGAATTATTAATATACAGGTGGGAGATACCATCATCCAAGGTGATATTCAACTATAGATTCTGAAGTTGATACTGGGAAAGCTTGATATTATTGCATTAAAATAGCTTTTATAAATATCAAACACTCCTCCCCAACTTGAAAATTATTTTCCCAGAAGAGTGGGTCTCAATTCAGTGTGTATCAGTATAATTTGAAGAGCTTGTTAAAAAAGATGACTGGATCCCACTCCTAGAGTTTCTGATTCAGGAGGCCTGAGGGGGGAGTCTATCATCCTATAAAAATTCAGGATAATCCTAGAAAATTCAGAAAGAGAAATTCTGATGAGATTGGTTTTCTGGCACTGAATACATTATCCTAATAGAGAAGGCCCCCTTCCTTACTAAATACAATGTGTACTGCATGACAATGGCTCAAATAACTAACACACACACACACACACACACACACACACACACACACACACACACACACACACACACACAAATTGTTAGTACCCACATAGTCGTCAGAGTCTGCTCTTTCTAGATTTGAAGAGAAGAGAATACGACCATTTAGTAACTATTTACTTTGTGTCAGGAATACTATCAGGTGGTTTACATACACTGTTTGAATGTATTCCTTTCATCGACACGATGAGGTAGATATTCTCATTTAATAGACTAAATTAAAGCTCAGAGGAATCACATGCGTAGGGTAAACCGGCAAGTCCAGGTGCAAATTCAGGTCTATCTGATGCAGGGCCATGTTCTCTCCACACCTAGGTAAGTTGATATCTCCATTCGAGAGTTCCAGCACCTTTATCAGCCATGAAAAAAATCAACAGGCCTGAAACATGAATATAATGTCTACCATCTACTTTTTTTTTTTCTGAGTTGGAGTTGCACTCCATCGCCCAAGCTGGAGGGGGGTGACACACTCACGGCCACCCCAGTGTCGACCTGCTTGGCTCCGGTGATCCTTCCGCCTCAGCCTTCCAAGTAGCCAGAACCACAGGAGTGCACTACCATGCCTGGCTAATTTTTTGGTTCATTGTAGAGATGAGGTCTCGCCAAGGTGCCCGGACTGTTCTCATACCTGTGGGCCCAGGCAATCCCCTCATCTCAGCCTCCCAAAGTGCTGAGATTACAGACTTGAGCCGTCACGCCTGACCTACCATCTACTTTTAAATCCTGTAAAAATGGAAGTTACTCTCTTCCTGCTTAGCTTGCTTTGGTTCATAAGGTCAGCAAAAGCATGTGTAATACGAGGGCAAACTCACTCAATAAGGCCTTTTGACTCCAACAAATTTGGCATATCTTTAAAAGCTGACAAATAATGAAGAGTAAAAGCATGTTCATTAATTTATAGGCTGTCACAAATGGTAATACAAGACCTGTTTGATGAGATTCCCTTAATGTAAGTATTCAAATCAATAGTCCTACCCCTTTGGTCGCAAGCATGCTGTAAGTCTCTATTGCCAGAGGCCCAGGTGAACCAGCAGCCAACTGCCCTTTTTCCTCTCTTTACCTAGGACTTTTGGGTCATACCGGCTCAAAGTTAGGCTGATGGCAGAACTGATGATATTTCCTAGGTTAAAAGAAGGGAGGGGAGAGTAGTAAAGCTTGCTACACAGAATTTAAATGGGGCTGCCCTTTTAGAAGGTGACTTTATAGTTAAGGAACTGAAGCCGGGCTCAGTGGCTCAGCCTGCAATCCCAGCACTTTGGGAGGCTGAGGTGAGTGGATTGCCTGAGCTCACGGGTTCGAGACCTGCCTGGGCAACTTGGCGAGACCTCATCTCTATAATAAATCAAAAAACTAACTGGGTGTGGTAGCGTGCGCCTGTAGTTCCAGCTACTTGGAAGGCTGAGGCGGAAGGATCGCTGGAGCCCAGCAGGTCAATGCTGTGGTGGCCAGGAGCGGCCACTGCACTCCAATCTGGGTGACAGAGTGAGACTCCAACTAAAAAAAAACCCCCCAAAAACCAAAAAAACAAAAATAGTTAAGGAACTGAGAGAGGGACAACACTTTTCTTTATTTACGTATTATTAATAATAATATTTTATCATACTATCCTTTCCAATAGGCATACATGAAGGATTTAACCAGGCAGGGTCTTGGAATAAATAATTTGCCCCCTACTGCCCCTTGTTGAGAAACACTTTTCATTGTGACAATTTGTGCTATATATGTTACAAAACTTATTACATAGAAAAACAAAAAATAAAAAGATAAGCCAACTTCTTTAAAAAAATTTGAAGTATTAACTAATGCATTAGAAGCAAAATATCTAGCAATATAATTGCTAGATTATACTGCTCCTTCCTGGCCAACCATTCTAACCCTCGCGTATGATTAAAAAAAAATAGCAAGAATTAAAGATTACACTTATTGAGTTTTAGAGTTCTCTTCTGGTTGTGCAGGCTGACACACCGGGCAGGGTTTTGACAAAAGCTAGTCTATGTCAGTCCACTATGGATCAGATGACCGTACATGCAGACCTTTCACATGTACTTGTCAAGCACAAGGAAGGTGTCACTCCTATCGGACACAAGAGTCCAGGACCACAATCGGTGAGAATATAGATAACAGTAGCCTCTTTGTCGCTATTCCCAAAGTGAAGTTATACTTTATTTTGATGAACATGCCCTTGTAATTTGAGAGAAAATATAATACAGAGATTAAAACAATTTGGGAATTACATGGCCAGATAAATATCAGCTATCTTTTCTCCATACATTAAGTCATTGCTATATACATTTTTTTGGAGCTCTTAACAATTGTGTTGGAGAAAGGACATCAAATGATGCTTAGAAATGTGATACACATTTTCATTTCACACTCCATCAGCTTTTACAACTGTAGCTCAATGAAATGTAAGAGAGAGCTTGGCAAACAGCCATATTTACCAAGGTATAAAATAGGGGTCAGGTTACTTTTTTATAGAAAGAAAAAACATGTTTAATTTTCACTTCACATGACTAAAGTAGATATTCAGCTAACACCCTACAGAAAGGCACCATAACTGCATATACAACTTGGCTTAGTGCCCATTCAGCTATAGGTTTTTACTATATGATAAACAGCTTCATAAGGCAAGAAAACATCCCTTTCCTCAGCCACTTCCACTCAGAATCTACTGACACAGAAACACACCAGTTCAGATCATTTTCGATGTTAAATCTTTCACCTGCAAATAATGACTTTTACCCTCTACTTCTAGCCTGGAAGCAGAAACAGCTTATTCCCTTTACAGGCAGAGAAGCAAAGCTACAGGCATCAGCAAAAACACATCTTTCTAATTCAGATTTCAATCTGTCAGAAAGGATTAAAGCCTCATGCATACATAAAAAGGGAACTATAAATGATAACAGAAACATGGTGTGGAATCACTGCACTTCCACAGCTGCTGTTTTACTAGCAGGGTAGAGAGGAAAGTATCTTTTACTTACCTTTGTTAAACCTGAGACTTCTCCCTTTGCTAATGGTTTGGTGATGGATGGCGTGTATACTTTGGCGTCTGATACTGGTTGCCCTTTCATAAAATGCTTTCCTGATTCATAGATGTCCACTTCGACCATTTTCCCCATGAACGAGGGATTCTTTGGCACTAAAACCTTAAAAAAATTTTCAGAACTCTTAATTTTTAGAAATAAACATTTTATTTTAGAACAGCTTAAGATGTATAGAATTGTTGCAAAGACAGTACAGAGTTCCTATATGCCCCACACCCAGTTTCCCCTAGTATGAATATCTGGTTTGTCACAGTTAATGAATCAAAATCGATATATCACTATTAACTAAAGTCCATCCTTTGTTCCGATTTCCTCAGTTGTCCTTTAATGCCATTTTTCTATTCTGGGATCCCATCCACAGTGGGCTCCATTTTCAAGGATCTGGGGATCCTGTAGGAAGGGAAGGCATTTCTGAGAAGGGCTCCTGGGTTGCAGACAGTGCTCTTCTCTTGTAGGACGCCTGCTGTTCAGAGGCATGTGGACGGCAGACCTGGGAAATCCCCCAGCAATCAGCCTGCCACTTTTGGACAGGCCTTTGATATTCTGCTCTTGGCTGTCCCATGCAATGAAGGAAACTGAGACCATACTGATGAAAGCCTTATACTTTTAATACTTTCCAAGTTAGCTGTCAGAGTCACGGTCTGAGGAGACACTTCAAATACAGGCCTGCGTGTTTGTGTGTGTGCATACATATGTGTGTTTAGGGGAGGAGGAAGAACACTTAAAAGCAACCTTTTCAATAACCAAAAGCCTTGGTGTTTGGAGCGAAATGACTCCTGTAACTGACTGCCATTCATTTCTTTTGCTCTGTTGGAAAAAGCAAGTGTTTGTTAGCCCTGGGAGCCTATCTCCACATAGAACCAGATACTCTGAAGGGTACTTTGGCTAGTTCACAGGAAACTGTCAGATGGTCTCTTTCCACAAGAGACTACTGATAAAATGATTTGTTTACCTCCTGCAAACGTTTCCTCTCCTTTGGGACTTCTAGGTGGTGTGTATGCACGATGTCTCCCTCACACTTCTATTTTAGCGATGTAGCTACTTGACAATCTTTTCAAGTCAGGATCCAAAATAAATAGGCCAATTCTAGTCCAGCAATACTTTTTGATATCCAGATACAATCTCCACTTCTGGAACTCATCTTATTTAGAAGAATAATTCTATGAAATCTCTGATATGCTTAGTTGTAGAGACTAAAAGTGAGATGAGAGCCAGAAGGTCCACAGCCAATTTCTCTGAGAGGCAATACTGGATCTCGGTCTTTCTGAGTTTGATTTGTATGACTACTGAGTATACTGCTTTGCCGAAATACAGGAAAAAGGTCACCTGGGTGGTGAATTACTCATGGCAAGCAAATGAACTAAAAGAGTTTTAGTATTAGGATATGAAAGCCCTTTTACATCAGTTTTTATAAAATAAGAAAATCTCTAGAGCAAACGGTCCCTGGGAGATTTGGTCCTATTCTGGGGGAAAATAACCCTCCTTGATCTGCTGCCTTGATCTGAATGAAGGGCTCAGTGTTTTTTCCTCCTCCAGTTTTCATAATTGGAAAAAGCCCGGCTGCTTTAAATTGGAGGAAACAGCTAATGAGGCATGCCACTGCCTTTAGAATGAAGGGAAAAAAGCTCCCCGCTGAGGCAAAACCCAGATGGCAAGAGAAAGGAGAGGGAAGAGGCAACCAAAATACATTAAGCTCCTCCCCAGGGCTGAGCAGAAGGCTGTCCTGAGCAGGAAAATGACTCTCTGGAGTCCATTAACAAGGAGGGAAATGGGGAAGAGACACAGTGCAAACACGGAGTGCGGGGAACCCTTCCTCAGCTGTGGTCTCTGGACAGAACACGTTTAGTCTGAGCTATGAAATGCTCCCTCATGCTTCCCGAGGACCTACTGCCCAGTGTGAGATGATTCCATGTGGAACGTCAATGCTGAAGGCCTCTCCAGCTCCTGCTGTCCTACTTTCTAACACAGGCAGCCTGCTTCCCTTGCCCATCCTTAAGTGACTGGCCCTAAGTGTCTTCCCAAGCTCTAATTCCAGCCCGGACCCATTAGAAAACATGCTCGCCTCTTACCCAATGAGAAAGTAACAAAAAAAGCAGGAAATTCCATCTAATGTTAAGAAAAGTTAATACAATCCAGAATGATCCATGAAAATTCCTATACCCCCATGAAGGGTCTCCCACCCAGGAGGGGGGCATCCCATCTTTTCCTTGGCTGTGGCCCTTGCAAGGGTCAGTGCCTGTGAAGGAGGCACTTGGTTTCCTTCCATCACTTTTGAGTTATTTCCTGCCTACAGGAGTAGAATCCCAAATGCTGAAACAGAAGTCGAGTTCCTGCTTAGATGGGCAGGGACGAAAAGGTGGTATGTGTGGAGCCCCTAGGTGGTCTCCAGAGCTCTCAAGGTGGACTTGATCTTCACACTGATTTGCAGAGTTGTCATACAATTTGAGTTGAGTCCAAGGCAGAGGCTCTTTTTCCTCTGTTCCCAGAATTTTTATTCAGGTAGAACGTAAAAAAAACAAAACAAAACAAAACAAAATACTAAACTAAACAAAACTGAAAAAAACCAACTAACCAACTGAAAAAAAAAAAGTGTGGGTGATGTGCCGGGGAGAGGAAATCCCTGCCCTTTCATGCTGATGTCGCCCATGCAGACATCCTTCCTGTCGTCTGAACACAACTTTCCCCCTACTTTGCCAGGCAGTAGAAATTCTGGCATAGCACTAACTGCCTGGTTCCAAACTCCCAAAAGCCTAAGGGTGGTCCTGTCAAAGATTAATACAGACTAAAACACACTAAGTACACTTACTTCTTTGTGTAGAATGTATTGTAGAGTAAGTCACAAAGATAAACCCCACGTTAGCCTGGCTGGCTTGATACTATAAAACAGCCTTGTTGTGACAAGATTCAGCCCTCTCTCCTTTTAAAAACCCTTTGGTTAAACTTTCAGAGTTCTTTCTTGCTTTGGAGAAAACTCAAGAGTACTGAAGTGCCTCTTACCTGCTCATAGAATCGATTGTGTGCAACATAAAACTTGGAATCAAAAGATTCTTCTGTTACTAACACTTGTTGTTGTTCACCAATCTGTGGAGAGAAGGGGAGAAAAAAAAAAGAAAGGAAAGATGAGGGCAAACACCTGAGAATCCAAAAATAAAGGTCAGCCCAAAGAGGTCTAAGCCTAGTAGTGCCCTCTTGAATTTAAAGTAGACTCTAGATTGCTAGTTATTTAACAGCTAACACTGTTCAATCATGGATTCAAAGTTCTCAAAAGACATTAATTGCGTGGCAATGTAAAATGAGCATAGTACAAACTCTTATTTTCTTACATAACTATGAAACAGAACTTGATCTTATTTCCTCCTTCAACATAAGTAAGATAATTAAAGCTTCTATGACATACAAAAATCTTCTAAATATCACTTTGTTTCTTGAAACAGAGTTGCAAAGCAAGCCAGAACAAGCTGCTTCTAATCCAAATTCATGAAAATATTTTGGCAATATGAAAGAATAGTAATAAACATTAATTTGAGTTATGAGGGATGTTAACACTGAAGAAAATGCCTCCAAAAACTAGTCATTAGGCCTTTGTACCAACATTTCACACATTGCATACAATTCTGAAATTACTGATTCATTTCACCCAGTTGTTTACTTGTTATATACATTTTCTCTGTCATAGGCAACTGTCTCTTTGCTGTAGCCATGACCCTGTGTTCATTTATTTATTTTTTTAAAAGAGAAAAACAGCAAAAATATGGAACTGTTAATTTTCTATAGGATTGATCTGCATTTATCACCTAAGCACACATTTTTAAATAACAAAGAATTAAACCAGCCAAAACAATGGTTAAAGAAATGACTATTCTAAAAAAAAAAAAAGTCTACTATTTCCAAGTTTATTCTACTGTGAAATGTTGCACTTAAAATATCAATTACTCTTTTTACAAGGTTGTCAAAATGTCTGATGTAGCAAACCAACTGTATTGAATGACTGTGGCCAGAATTATTTTTGCCATCGCTACTTAATAAATACAATCCATGAAATTAAAGCACATTGGCAAGATGATGTTTTAAAATTCCTATTCTCAATTGTAGGGACTTGTCACCATGATCTGGCAGTTGCCGCGTAGGAAACATAAACACAGCTGCACTAAATAGACCACCTAACAATTAAAAAAAAAAAATCAAACTCCCCTCTCCATCATACAATGCCAATACCTAAATACACCATAATTTACTACATAGTTTACTATCTTATTCAAAATGGAGCCCCCTCAGTCAAAGGTTGCAAGGTCTCTGAGATACTTATCAAAGACTCTTTTTACTCCGTGAAAAACAATGAAAGTCCTGGCAACATTAATCCCTTTAAAAAAAAATCAAGTAGCAAAAAAGAAAACTCCCCCACCTTCTACTTGAAGTTCAATGGCTCTGTTTATCAAAAAAGACTGGTGAATATTGGGTTTCACTGAAGTACATTCTTCTGAAAGAAAACTTAGAATGTTTGCACACATTTCACAGTGTGAGTTGCTTGTAACTTAGGGTAAGTATCTGTTGATGGTTCTTAAGGAAATCTGCAATTACACTTCATCTAACATAAGTTTTCTGGAAATTAATCTAACAACAATATGAAATTGTAGAGACACTGAAAACGTATGCTGCTGCTTATAAGAATCAACGTGGACAGTTCGGTCATCATTTCTGGGCTGTTCTATTTCATCTGGAGATAATAATGATGACGATAATATATACAGAGTTAGAAAGACTTGCTATATTTATACAGTGGAGAGCTGGGCTTTCAATCCATCAGAGAACTATTTGTAGGTGAGTATTTAACTCTTATTGGTCAAAGAGACTTGGGAGAACAGCTGTGTGCAGTAATTTATAGTAGCAAAAACCTTTCCAGTCACCCTATTCTTGTCTTCAGCTAAGGGCTTTTTCTCATTTATGCGACCCTTAAAAATCCTAAGAGCATACTGAGCAAAAAAATGAGTTTAAGATCTAAGAAGGATAGGGTTTTGTTCAAAAGCTGCTGCAAGCTGGGCTTGGTGACTCAGCCTGTAATCCCGCGCTTTGTGAGGCCAAGGTGAGTGGATTGCCTGAGCCCGCGGGTTCGAGACCCGCCTGGACAACTTGGTGAGACCTTATCTCTACAATAAATCAAATAACTAGCTGGATATGGTAGCATGTGCCTGTAGTTCCGGCTACTTGGAAGGCTGAGGCAGAAGGATCTCCAGAGCCCAGCAGGTCAAGGCTGCGGTGGCCGTGAGCATGCCACTGCACTCCAGTCTGGGCAATAGAGTGAGACTCCAACTCAAAAAAAAAAAAAAGCTGCTGCAAGCCATTCCACCCACTTAAAAAATTCTATATATATGGCAGCTGGGTGTGGTGGTGCTTGTCTGTAGTCCCAGCTACTTGAGAGCCTAAGGGAAGAGGACTGCTTGAGGCCAGGAGTTCAAGGCTGTGGTGAGCTATGATCGCACTACTGCACTCTAGCCTGGGCAGCACAGCAAGAACCTATCTCAAATAATAATAATAATGATAATAGCTTTCTTCAATTTTTTTTGAGTCAGAGTCTCACTCTGTCGCCCAGGCTGGAGTACAGTGGCAGGCTCACAGCCACCACAGCCTTGACCTTCTGGGCTCAGGCAATCCTTCTGCCTCAGCCTTCCAAGTAGCTGGAACTACAGCTGTGTGCCACCATGCCCAGCAAATTTATTTATTTACTGTAGAGACGAGGTCTTGCCTGTTGCCCAGGCTAGTCTCAAACCCATGGGCTCAGGCAATCCTCTTACCTTCGCCTCCCAAAGTGCTGGGATTACAGGCGTGAGCCACTGCACCCAACACTTTCTTCAATATTTTTTAATGACTGAAGTCACATTGAAATAAACATCAACTCTAGGAGAATCAACTATCTCAAATATACAAATCAACAATGAAGTTAAGAAAGGGGGAGTTCAGGGAAGTTCTGCAAGAGGCAGCTTTGCCTTGGTGACAATAAAGGAAACTGTGAGCTAAGTGAATGTTTATAAACCTCAAGTCTCTCTCTCTCTTTCTTTTTTTGTTTTTTGTTTTGAATCAGAGTCTCACTCTATCGCCCAGGCAGGAGTGCAGTGGTTCTCTCACAGCCACTGACCACTGTAGCCTCAACCTGCTGGGTTCAGGTGATCCTTCTGCCTCAGCCTTCTAAGTAGCTGGAACTACAGGTGTGCGTCACCATGCCCAGTCAATTTTTAAATTTATTTATTGTAGAGACAAGTCTCATCAAGGTACTCAGGCTGGTCTTGAACTCCTGAGCTCAGGCAATCCTCTTGCCTCAGCCTCCAAAGTGTTGGGATTACAGGCATGAGCCACTGTGCGCCTGGTAAGTCTTTTTTAAAAATAGACCAACTCCCCCTATGCTTCCCAACTATTGTCTCCTTAACCTCATGGGGTTAAAGACTCTCTTATAAGTGTAATCGTCCTGATTGGCTATATCCTTAAGAGTGCCTCTGCTATCAGAGTGAAGAAGTTCTCATCACAGAGAAAAATGCAGGGCATCTGGAGAAAGAAGCAAGGCTGCAGATCTTCTGAGGCCTCCAGGACCCCACTACCCAGTTACCTATTATTCTAAGGGCAGAGATCGTTCTCTAGAAAGGATCAGTCTGGGCCAGGTGCGGTGGCTCAAACCTGTAATCCCAGCACTTTGGGAAGCCGAGGGGAGTGGATTGCCTTAGCCCGAGGGTTCAAGACCAGCCTGGGCAACTTGGCAAGCCCTCATCTCTACAATAAATCAAAAAAATTAGCCGGGTGTGGTAGCACATGCCTGTAGTTCCTGCTACTTGGAAGGCTGAGGCAGAAGGATTGCTGGAGCCCAGCAGGTTGACGCTGGGATGGCCATGGCATACCACTGCACTCCAGCCTGGGTGACGAAGTGAGACTCCAACTCAAATAAAAAAGGATGAGTCTGTCTTATAAAGTGATAGTAGACATCGGTGTTTCATGCAATATTATGCTGTATTGACACTTGTCTGACATTCTGCTGAGAAGCAGACTTCTAAGGCCACCTCACCATCACTGACAGAACCAGCTAGAGCTACCAACAGGAACGCAAGAGTATGTCACTTTGAAAACGAGACAAACAAAATCCTGTGAATAAGGAAGAGGTTGAAAATTATGGTTCTGGCCAGCCTGGGTAACAGAGTGAGACTCCAACTCAAAAAACAGAAAAAAAAAAAAAAAGAAAGAAAGAAAAAAAGAAAATCATGGTTCTCACAGAATTTGTGGCTGGCAGCATGTTATGGTTTATCCACCAAACTCATGTTGAAATTTAATTGCCAATGTAATGGTGTTGAGCGGTGGTGTCTTTAAGAGGTGATTAAGTCACTAAGATAGGTTACTGTCTTTCTTGAGAGACTGGGTTAGTTATCACAGGAATGGATGGGTTTCCACACAGGAGCAGGCTGTTATAAGGTGAGGCTGCCTCTAGTGTTTACATGCCCTTCTACTTTCTGATGTAAGTTGAAGCTCTCACCCAGACGGACCTGGATTTGGACTTCCCAGTCTCCAGAATCATGATCCAAATAAACTTCTTTATTAATCACTTAGTCTTGGATATTTCTCTGTAAATTACCTAGTCTTGGGTATTGTTATAGCAAGAGTTCACTGTCCAGGTGACAGGCACCCTAGAAGCTCAAACCTCACCATTATGCAATCTATCTGTGTAATAAACCTGCACATGTACCCCCTTGAACCTATATAAATAAAAGTTAAAACATAGACAATGATACAGCACATTGTAGCTGTTCAGCAGAGATGATAAAGACACAACAGAAATTGTTAAGTCCAAAGGATGATCTTGAGGGTGACTTCAAAAACAAGCATAAAGAAGAAAGTGATTTGTATTGAGAAGAAGGGTCAGAAGCTGAAGGATATAATTCTAGCAGAATCCAAGGTGGAAGAGTCTGAAGAGAGTTCTTCAAAAGCATCAAATGTCACATATTTGGGTTGGTCAATAGGGAAAGGGGACACAGGGTCTGATTAGATTATCTTTAAGATAAAAGACTTGATTATGATTTGAGCCTTCACTTTCCCCATCTAAAAAATGA